ATCTAATTAAAGTATTGATTATATATTAAATCAAATACCCATAAAAACCCACTGATCAGATTGATAAAGATAAGGAACAAAGTTAGTGATTTCTCTGCATTTGGGAAATTATATAATGAGTAAGACACATATTGAGCAAAAATAATTGATATGTAAGATTATTCTAAAATGGGATGGATGGGAAATACTTCATTGTTTTATTGCCAAGAAAGATCTTGAATGAATAGGGGAAGAGTCAGTTTCTTTGTATGTATTATCAAAGCCCCTTGAAGAGATGAGGCCTTTCTAACATTAGACCAGGCAGGGATGGTAGATGAGGAGCTATTCATTCATTTGGATCAAGAGATGCTAGAAGGCAGGAAATGGAGTGGGAAGGAACTCAGAGAACACCACTGACAGGTAACAGTTCCTGTGGAGTGTTGCAAACCAGATGTGTAATGTGTATTAGCTTACACAAATTTGGTGAATTATTAAGGTGTAATTAGCCTCATTCTGAAATACTATGATTTTTACAGAATATCCTGTAAAATCTGCTCTCAAAAATGCCCATGTTTTCATGCAATTACTTGCCTCTGAGAATAATTGTAAGAATATTTCAGAACTATGTTCAACATAAAGGTCAAGATGTCAAATGACGTGTTTTTGATCAAAGGTTGCCAGGTTAATAATAAGCATGTAAACAAAAATATAATGTAAAATGAAAAAGAAATATCCAGTAATCAAAACTGATTTGGAACTGACCCAGGTGCTGTCTTTGAGCACTTTGTAAACCAATGGCACTGTTAATGTAAAAATCCGTTCAAGCTAACACGTTTATGAAATATCAAGGTTGGAAACCATATGGTAACTTCCATCAAAATTTCTTGTAGAAATATCGTCAAATATATGACATTAGCCTAGAAAAAATATGTGTAGATGAATTAAAACAGAAAGAAAATCAAGGAATTATTGATCAAATCATAATTATTTGAAGATAATTACAAAGGAAGACCAGTGGAGCAAAGACACTTTTATACTGAGTGCAGGTGAATAATTGCCTGCCTGTGTAGGAGCAGGAGGAACGCTTCACACCACGTCCTAGGGTTTCTGGTGCTGTGACCAAACACCATAACAAAAAGCAGCCTGGAAGAAAGGGAAGTGTGTATTTCAGCTTACATGTCCACATCACTGTCCATCACGGATGGAAGTCGGGGTCAAAGCTCAAATGCAGCATCCGGGAGGCAGGAGCTGATGCAGATGCCATGTGCTGCATACTGGCCTGGGAGGCAGGAGCTGATGCACATGCCATGTGCTACATCCTGTCCTGCTCCCCATGCCTTGCTCAGCCACCCAGATTAGTCCGGGACTTCATATATCAATCGCTAATCAAGAAAATGCCCCCAAGCTTTGTCTACAGGCAATATGATGGAGGCATTTTCTCAATTGATGTTCATCTTCCCATATAACTCTAATATGTCCAGTTGACAATAAACTAGCAAGAACAAACCATAAGTGAAAACCAGTGTGAGCCATAGATGTAAAAGTCACTCTACGATTATAACGGCTTTAAAAAAAAAAAGGAAATATTGTTATCTTGAGGTAGAAAAAAGATGTCATACATAATATAAAAACTTGGGTCTAAAGAATTGAAATAAAGCTTGACATGAGGAAAGGAGTCATACCTATAATCCCAGCACTTGGGAAGGAGAAGGCAGGAAGAGCATCAGAAGATAAACGGCATCTTTGTGTATTTAGGTTGAAACCAACCTTAGTTACATAAGACCATGTCTCCACAAAGCAAAAAATTTAAGTTAAAATAACCAGTAAAAAAAATTGGTAAGTTGGCATTCCCTGAGGTACCAAGATGATGGTGCTCAAGTGAGAGTGAAGGACAGAGAAGTACCCCAGCACATCCAGATGGCAATATATAAACCTGGTCAGCTGATTCCGTCTCTAGTAGATACAGAATTCAGATGACCAACGGTCACAAAAAATAGGAAGGAAAGTTCTAAATATCTTAGAGAACCAGGGACTTTATAATTGGAGTTGTATTCCTTGGAATTCCTTGATTTCTCTGGAATATTGGCAAACTTCATTTTCAGGAAGTTTTAATATTCAGTATGAAGACTGAGGATGTATACATCATTAATTACACTTTCATTCTTGACTACTATCATTCCTACAAGATCATTGTAACTGATACTTTACAATCAGGTAACAAAATCAAGGAAACCTATGTTCTGAGAAGCTCACTGATTGCCTTTGTGCATGGTGTTTTCTATATCAGAGCTTTGAATTTTTACACATATGGACATTTGGCAGTCAGGTATCATATTGTTTCCCTGGCACCAAAAGAACTACTTGTTATACTCCACTGGTTACTCTGATGTCAAGCTGGGATGAGAGCAATGGCAGCTCCTCTACTCTTTCAAAGAGCATTTGGAATATTTCATGGTTTGTATCATTATGTTCTCTGTATGAGAACACTTGCAAATCTGTGCCTGAAGATTAACTAAAGAAGCAGCAGAATGGACTTGTTTTATAGTAAGGACTCAGACATTGGTGAAAAGTGAAAATTAACTGTGAAACAATAAAAAATTTAAAAAGAAAAAAAATAGCCATAAGTTACAGTTTTTCAAAATTAAAACATCTGTCGATCAATAGTTAATGTTGGGAAAAATAAAAAAGCAAACCACAAATTAAAAAAAATCCCTCCAAAGAATGAATCAAACAAGTGGCTTATATCAGTCTACTTGATATACAAATAATTTAAAAAAAATACCTTTCAAACATGAGATTAAGAAAGTAGAAACAAAGAATCTAATTTCAATAAAGGGAAAAAATAAAAATAAAGAAAGCTGACAATTTATTTTTTACAAATACTCTAAATATTTAAACTGTTACATCATGGCAGAAGATATAAGGATAATGAATGAGATAGAAAAGATGTTCATATCTCCACTAATTAGGGAAATGCAATTTAAAAGCATAATGAGATGCACATGGATTAGAATAGCTAAATGCAAAGATTGAGCTCTACTATCTGTGGGGGCTGGTTGGGGAGCAGAGTTCTCAAGTGAATTATAGTTGAGACTGAAAATGGGAACAGGCTAATAAAACCGAATGGCAGATTTATAAAAATTGAAATGAAGGAAAAGCGCACCTGCCATGTTACCAAGGAGCTGGCTTGGGGCTTTTGGATTTACTCTGCCGGAAATAGACAGAAGGCCAGGGGGATGGTGAGGGAAAGTGGCTGCAAGGTCATCTGAAGGTCACCTGGGCTTCTCCTTCCTGGGTGCTTCCACCTAGGACTGGTGCAAATTGTCTTCCAAGGTTGCCACGGAAGCAAGACTTCCTGGTGCAGATCTCATGGAAGGAGGTGTGGCTTCGGTTGCAGGGATCCTCAAAGCTAGCTGGATGTTCTCATAGGTATTATAATGTTTCCCCAAATGGCCAGACTGCCAAAAGGGAACTTCAGCTGTTGACCATAGAAATGATTGCTTTGCTGGCTGTCTCTGACTCCCAGGTGTCACGTGTAAAAGGTCTGTCTTGTTCCATTCGGGGACCTAAGTGGTTCACTCTTGTCAGTATCACTCATTCACAAACAGTAAATGAATACTAAGAAGTCAGAGAAAGCTCAGCACAATACTGACATTCCTGACAGCACTTAAAAATACTTAGCAATGTCTGAGCCCTGTTCCAGCTCCCCTCCCCCAAGGAGGATTGGGCCATCTGGTCTGTCTCAATCTGATCTTGCTATTTCACTCTTGTTAGTTACCCAAGGAAAGAGAGCACTGGTGTTCAGAGAACAGGCCAAGTGAGTGCCTTAACTCTGTTAGAATACTCAAGAATTGGGTGAGAGTCTAAAAGCCCATTATCAGATCATTGGTACACTGGTCTTAGGATGTCTTACAGTAGAATGCTATCCTGAGTACTATGATTGTGAACTGTTCCCCTCAGGTTCCTGTGCTTAGGTACTTGCTGTTTGGGGGATTTGACAACAGGGGTTTCATGCAGCATGTTATGTCATAAAAGCAGTTGGGAAGCAGAGGTGTGTGTGTGTGTGTGTGTGTGTGTGTGTGTGTGTGTGTAAGAGAGAGAGAGTCAGACTTGACTTTAAGACTTATCCCCAGTGACCTACTTACTCCAACCAGGTCCCATCTGTTAAATATCAAAACTTCCAAAATTTCCTTAATAGTGCCTATTTCTCATGGAAGGATTATACCCCCTTAGACTGTAAGCCAAAAATAAATCTCTCCTCATTCAGTTGCTGTGAGGGATAGCACTAATCGCTGACTCTACGGTATCTACAGCTCTTTAGAAGACAGGTTTCTCCTTAGCACTGTAGAGGATAACTGTGACTGTGTCCATTGGTGCTTCAAGTCCCATCTTAACTGTGTGTGCACCACTGGCTGCTGCTGTGCATTGTGAAGTAGAGAGAAAGCAAGCTGAGGTCCCGTGGCTTTCTGTCCCTGATTGGAACTTCAGGTAAAAATAAATCCTTTCTTTTCCACTTAAGCTCCTGGTGTCAGAGTAGATTCTCCCAGTTCCAGGAAGGACACCAAGGCACATGCTTGGGCATAGTGAGGAGAAACAGAAGAACAGAGAAATCGATACGAAGATGCTGGGCCTTCGCTGCAATTAGGTGCTACAAGACCCTGGAAAGAGTTCTGAGACGAGTTGAAAAACATGGGAGAGTTTCAAGCTGTGGACTAGTGAAGACCTGGAAACCTGCAAGCAAAGTTCAATGGGCCATGCTGGTGGGAATATGGGACAGGAGAATGCGAGTGGAAATGACACCGAAGGTTTCAGATGGAAAAAGACTCACGAACTGGACTTGGAGGTATCATATTTGTATCATCTTTGGTATCATATTTGGACAAAATTACACTTATATCTGTTGTGTCCTTAAAACGTAACCGAGGCTGAATTTAAAACTACTGAGTCGCAGCGCGATGAATGCCGGCTGCTCTTAGGTGACCGTTAGCTGCTCTTAGCGCGATGAATGCCGGTTGCTCTTAGGTGACCGTTAGCTGCTCTTAGCGCGATGAATGCCGGCTGCTCTTAGTTGGTGTTACAGGGAAGCAGAGCAGAAAGACGTGAAAATGTGTGCTCTTGTGAGTAAAGAACCCTGCATATGGTTAAAGCTGTACACAGTGTAAAATGTAGGGTTTATGAAATGCAGCTGAAAAAGAAAAAGAAAAAAAAAAAGATTGGTCTAACTCACTTGGCACTCTAGTGGGACAATTGGCAAAGTGCTATGGAGGTTAGCCCCAGCTGGCGTCCCGTGGGGATAATACTACACCCCATTTGCAAAGAGGATCCTGAACACAAACATCCAGTTTGATGTCCGCCAGGACATCACTCCATCATTTCAGTAGGACTGCATAGGGAACAATTTTCTCAAGTGCATCCAGGTAGGTGACCTGGCTCCATGGAAACTGTGAAAAGGGGAAAGACTATGCCTCAAGCTGGCATCCTGGTTTAATATGATCCATATTGTGCTAGTTTCTTGGGCAGGAGCCACAAGGATGAAAGAGTGGTAGAGGTTTTCACCACCATTCTGGAAACCTGCCAAATCCAGCTAATTAAGGCGTAGCGAGGTCGAATCCCTTCATCGAGCTCCAGAATGGGCTGATTATCAAGTTTTGAAGGTGAAGCCTAAGTTGTAGTGAAGACCTCATGATAGTGGAGATATCAGGAATAGCACATTTACCGAGATAGCTGTGGCAAGGAAATAAAGTCCAACAAGACCATCCACAATTATTATAGGCAGCAGCACTGGAGAAGCAGGGCTACCCAAACCCTTTGAAGCCCACAGGATGTCATTACAACCAAGGACCTAGAGCTTCATAGTGTGGTGTTTGACTGCTTCATTTTGACCATTGTCCCTTGCTCTTTTCTTGCTATTTTCCCCATCTTCCATTTTGGAATGGAGATGGCTATTTTGGGTCATTGTATGTTTGTATGTAATGAATATGGCTACTCCATGCCATTGTATGTTTAATGTCTGTAATTTTTTGTTTTATATGGGGCTCACAGTTAAGAGACTCCCTTTATTTTCAAAAGGGACTTTAAGGACACTAAGAGAGACTTACATAGCTCTAATCTACATGGGAAGTAGAAAGTAGAAAAAGACAAGATCTCCTGAGTAAATTGGGAGCATGGGGACCTTGGGGGAGGGTTGAAGAGGGAAGGGGAAAGTCAGGGAGAGAAGCAGAGAAAAATGTAGAGCTCAATAAATATCAATAAAAAAGAGACTTTGAGTCTTTGTTTTTTCAATGGCATTGGAATGGTTTAAAGAGTGGGGACTTTTGACATTAATTGAGTGCATTTTCTCCTTGAGATGGCTCTGAATCTATGGGAGTCAGGGGCAGTGCTGCGATTTGAATGTAAAAAGACCTCAACAAACTCCGGTGTTTAAATATATAACTTGGCAATGTGGCAGGCGATGTTGTAAAACCTTTAAAGGTAAAGTCTAACTGGAAGAAGGGGTTGTTGTGGAATGAACCTTAAGATTTACAGCTTGATGGGATGCTCTGGCTAGTGTTACATCAAAATGGCACAAGCTGTAGTCATTGTGTAAGAAACCTCAACTAGGAAGGTGCCCCAACCAGATTGGCTTGTGGGCAAACTTGTGGGGTATTTTCTTGATGAATCATTTTGGGTAGTGTTATCTCCAGGCAGGTGGCCCTGAAGAGTATAACAAAGAAGGCTGAGAAACCATGGAGAGCAAACCAATAAGCAGCACACTAAGGCCTCTGCATGGGTTCCTGCCGCCAGGTTCTGATCTTGAGCTCCTGCCCTGACTCTCCTTAATGATGGACTATGATGTGGACATGTGAACTGAAACAAACCCTTTCTGCCACAACTTGATTTTGTTCGTGGTATTTTACCACAGCAAAAGGGACCCTAAGATACCTACATTCCAACTAGACATATTTCTTTCTGCTTCCTAAGTGCTGATAGGGTTGTAGAACTTTAACCTGAGGCCTCTCAGCAGTAATGCTCCCCCCTCCCCTGGGAACCAAGGACCTAACAATTACACATACATGTTGATGGAGGAGGGTTATCTGTCTATTGTGTTATTTTCATTGGTCAATAAAGAGACTGCCTTGGCCCTTTGATAGGACAGAAAATTAGGTAGGCGGAGTAAACAGAATAGAATGCTGGGCATTGAGGCAGACGCCATGGAGCCAGGCACCAGGTCAGACATGCTGAATCTTTTCCAGTAAGCCACCACCTTGTGGTGCTATACAGATTATTAGAAATGTGTTAATCAAGATGTGAGAGTTAGCCAGTAACTAACTCTCTAGAGATAATGGGCCAGGCAGTATTTAAATGAATACAGCTTATGTGTTATTATTTCTGGGGCTAAGCTAGCCATGCGGGAGCCAGGTGAGGCGAAAAACAGGCCTGCCCGCAGCTCCGTACAACATATGGTGCCCAACGTGGATAACTAAATCCACAGAAAGCCTGACAACACGTACTGAAATGTTGGAAACTTTCCATCTCCCTGAGTCCTTGTGAGTGTTCTCCAAATAGAGTTCCATTCCTGAAATTGGGAGAAGATAACCCACAGATGTCCACAGATGTTTTGACTCAGTCCCTGGGAAAGGGGCAAAGTAACCCTCAAATGTTTTCTCTTACCTCACCTGATCTGACAACCATTCTCCAGCCAATTATTGGTAATAGCCCTTTGAATAAGTCAATCATAATAGTTGAAGAACAACCTCTCAAACTCCCTCCTTGTTTCTGTGGCCTTTTGCTTCAAAAATAGCCTGTACCAACTATTTGGGGTCTTTCTGGCTTCTCGAATGCTAAAAGATCCTGTCGCAACAGAATTAATTAAAATCTTCATCAACTGTGGTGTGTGGGTGGTCGCTTGGGGCACCTCCTCTTCGGTGATTGGACTCCAGGGTCCAACAGGGCAGAAACATATTCTGTAAGCTCCCACTCTCATAGAGAAGCCATCCCGAAGTCGTTCGCATCTTCATGGACTATAATATGCCTACAAACCCTGATCCAAAATAACTCCTTATTTTTTGCAGTTATTTCATTAGTTATTTGGTTGCATCAATGAAAAGAGCATTTGATATACTGAACAGTAAAGGAAATATTGACAAAAAGTGAATCTTGAGCTAGAAAAAGACAAAACTTTCTATGTACTTCTATTTATAAAACTTTTATAAAGCATGCCAATGCCTGAGAGCAACAAGGAGATAGAAGGTGATAGAGATTGAAAAGTAGCATGGAAAACTATTAGCCCTGATTTACTTACTCTCATTACAACCAAGGACCAGAGTACTTTGGGCACTGCCAGAGTTTGCAGCACATACCTTCACTACCTGGAAGCTGTAGTATGAACAATAGAGGAACTATAAACTAATAGAGGAACGTTGTTCCATTTCTGGTACCACAGGTTTGAAAAACAGTGGGCAGCTCAGTCAGGGATAGGAGAAACCACCACCCACACCTCTTGCCAGTTTGCTGTAAAAGAAATACTGAGAAGAGACAAGAATAGTTGAAAGAAATAGTGGCCTTCTATTCTGAGATCTAAAGAAACTGCCAAATACTTTGAGACGTTGTTTGGGTAAGGTATGCAATATTTAGTCCTTCTGCTACAGGGGAATGACCACCAATCTGGGAACACATACTGGTCATGAACATAAGCAACCTTAAGTCAATTTACCCTAGCAAGAAAGGTTCTGGACCAACATTCTCATCTACTATCTTGTCACTGAACATGCTTTTCAAATGAATTGTCTTGTTTCAATACTTTGTCTCTCGGTTTAATTGGCTGCCTAGTTGTTTTAGCAGTTGGATCTTATTTCTGGTATTGTCTTGATTCATACTGAATGACACAAATGTGCAAACATACGTCAAAACCCATATTCAGTTTAATATATGTCAAAAATCATGGTATGTAATTGGTAATCAAACGTGTTCTAAGACTGTCAAAAGATACTGCAATTTAAAAGAAGGTTGAAGATTGTCTTAAGACACATCATGTTTCAATATGAGGGAAAGAGGGATGACCTTGTGACAAGTTACAGTGAGGAAGCAGTGGAAGGATTTAAGAAAAGATGCCAAGGAACTAGCTCATCCATTAAGAGGGATGGAATCACTCATACTGCTGAACTCTGCTGAAATTCAGGATGAGACACTGTGCCGTGTCCATTGGTTTTGGATATTTGAAGGCCAGAGTGGCTTTAATAAGATCCACCTTCTGAAATGTGTACCCAGAAGTCAGAACAGAATGGGACAAATTTGAGATGAAGATCTTGTGATGTAGGATGTATTATTTTTTCCAGGAAGATGGCTGAAGTGACCAGGAGAGCAGGTAAAGGATATGTTTCCCAGAGGGTACAATGTGACGTGGTGTGGAGGTGTGTCTCTGTCAGAGAGACACAGAGGATACGTTTCTCAGTGGGTACAATGTGATGTGGTGTAGGTGTGTGTGTCTCAGCTAGAGAGACACAGACAGAAAGGAAGCAAACGATCAGCTGGTACCAATTCCTCCAAAAGTAAGAGGAAGAGGCTGAAACATAGTTTGATGAATTGGCTTGATGAATTGCCAACAGATCTCTTTAGGCAAAATGAGAGTTATTTCTCAAAATAGTTCCTGTAACAGTGTCCAGATTTCAGTCAGTACATTTGTAGACAAATAGATGAAAGTGTAGAAAATTTCATCAAATCCCTCAAGCTAATAAATCACCACAAAGTTATAAAATAAAGTCTCATTCTACCTGGCTTCTCACTAAACTTTAATCTGCATTCCAGGTTGTAACTATGGTAAAATCATTTTTTAAGTTTTTCATTAATAAAGTACTACTCAAAAGTTTAAGAAGTCAGATGTTAGACATCTTGTTCGCAATACGTTAGTTGTCTTGATTGCTTTCTACTGAAAATATGGAACATATTACTTAGATTCAAAACACCTCGTTGTTTTTAGAGGCCAGTAGATGTGCAGTTTCCATACCTAGTTTCTCATGTCATTTCCCATTAATTTAGGCCTCTTCTGTGTTGTAGCAATGATGGAAAAGCTGAGACAGGAATGATAGATTAGCATACTTGGTATAGGCCTTTGTTAAAAATATATGTTCAAAACACATTGCACACATGCCTGAAATGTTCAAAGAAAAACTAAAATATACATTTTTTTTTAAAAAAGCATTACATTAGAATTCAAAGAAATCTTTGCATCGTGATGTTTGTCATTTCCACTGCCCTGCATAGAGTTTAGGGAAATGATGAAGCCAAGGTTCACCTCAAAGATAAATAATAAGATACTACAACTAGGTGTGAAAATAACTTGTGTCTTGCTTAGGCTGGCGTTGCAGAGTACTGGGAAAAGAAAGAAGCCAGGGAACTTGGGTATGCCTCCAAATTGTGCCTTAAAAGTGTGCCTTATATTTCATCCCTACTTACCTAGCACCTGTGTGGCGTATTTTAGGATTCCATGTGAAATTTTGTATTCACCACAAAATAGCTCCCTTGTTAAAAAGAAGGTCTTAGTTTCATCTTTAGTTTTTGGAGTAACTGTTTTAGGATATTCTTGATTTTTGCAAATTTTACCTTTCAGATTAGATAATATTTAGTGATGAGTGTGATGTACAGCACTGACCAAGTCCTGTTTTGGAGTTTGTAAAACAGCATCAGCATTCTGCAGAGAGTCCTTGCTCGGCAATCAATCTCTGCGGAGAGCACAACATTACAGCTACCCACAACAAGGAAGTAAACAGTGCAGTCAATCCCTAGGAAGATCAAGTGCTGAAGTTGGAGGGTCAGCCACAAAGGCGACTAATGGGACAGCCTCTGCTTACCACTTAATTTATAGTTCACAAGTGCCAGGTACTTTCCACCGGGATTCAAGCATAAGGACACAGAATGTTAAAGAAAATTCAGCTAAATTTCTGAGTAAGGGGCTCCAACTTCATAAAGTCAAAGGTCTGAGCCACTTGGATTCCTTCTGCATGAGGATTCTAAAGTTGCTACTTGGTTGCTCTATCAATTTTCTATTTAAGTGGGTGCTAATAACTTTTGGACGTGGGTTGAGAGACACGAACAGTCTGAATGTGATATGGTCCATTAAGAGTGTAACTTTATCATTTTCAAATCCCCTGCAATTTTCATCCAGCCTCAAGTCCTATTCAGATAGAAGCAGTTGATGCTGGCCCAATGTCTAGGATGTTCTGTTTCCAGACATAGTATCCTCTTGGCAAACACTAGCCGATCGCTTCCTCCGTGCAAACTTTGACAATAAACTTTGTCAGGAACGTGCAAGTATCATGATCTTCACATTTTTACCATTGTCCCAGAATCTCCTAAACCAGGCTAATGTTTACTCCCTTTCTTTCCAGAGGTTCCTAAGGAGAACAAATTCACTGTGTCATAACAATTTGAATGATGTTTCCTTCAGATTTTGTGTTATTGTTACTTAATCAGTTTAGCTAATTCATGCTTCTCAGCATCATTCTTTGGCTTTCTAATGAATGCATTTTATAGTTCTAAGAGCTCTGTGAGCCTGCAAACATAGAAAGTTCTAAGTTCTTCACATTTAGAAAGCTTGAAGTTGTCCAAGGTCTTCCGAATATAAAATATCAACTTACCCACCTGCAGCAAAACTTTTTAAGCAAAAAGGTACCTGAATTTGTTAGAAACCTGTTGTTAATAATAGCAGTACTAAATCTGATCAGCTTTCCTGCAAATTTCAAACACTCTGATACAAGGTTGATTCAAGTTGCAGAAACATATGCCGAGTTTGAGATGAGAAATACGTACAAAACCGAAGTGTTAAACTTTCCAATTACTTCAACTTAGTATAGATGTATTTAGAAAAATGAATTTTGCCCCTTGTCTGACCTTCTTTTTCTGTGTGTTATACAAAACTTCAAATGTCTAACAACCTTAAAATAAATTACTGATGTTTTATACCCTAAGTGACAATTGTTTTCTCTGGAGCATTGCAGTCTTCCCTGGATCTTTCTTCCTTTCCCACGATAACAAAAAATGAATGAGAAAAGAAAATATTTCATAACTCTGATATATCAATTATCGCCTATGCTTGTGAAATAATTTATATAAAAATATAGCTATTTTGATATAAGATCATGAAACACAGATCATAATACACAGATCATGAAAATCAACCTTCTTGTTTTCCAAAGGAGGAAACAAAAATGTCAAACTTGCTAGTTGCTAACATGGTTTCCCTTGTAATTAGTTCAAATTAGAATTTGAACATGTAATTTCTGTCTATTCCCTCCCCACCATGAATGCATTATTTTTTTCCTCTAACCCAAATGATTTATGACTGAGAATAGCCTCTAGTGAGTGAGATCTCCTTACTCCAATCATGTTAAAAATTCTCCTCAAACTCTTTACTAAGTAGAGTACCAAGAAAGAGTAGAGTCTATAACCTAGAAAGACAGGTTTTCATAAGATATTAATGACAGTATCCAGAGAGCTTACAGTATATGTGAAAACAGCTAAGGAAAGCTTTCAACTGTCATTTATGTCACATTTAAGATACTTAGTGAAAATACTATAGTGGTAATATACTACAAATAACATCTCAGTAAATACCCAAAAGCAAAATTACTATAGTCTAAATTTCTGAGAATAATATTGTAAAACTAAAACTAACAAGTAAATCTTTATATATTCCTATAAAGCTTCTCCCCTCCTTGTAAACTCTCTAGAGTCCAGCATTTGGGAAATTAAGTAGTGAGTCCTTTTGTTTTTAAGTATTTAATAAAAACAAAAACAAAAACAAATATTTCTTCTGTAGTAAGCTTTCTTGTTGGGCTATCTTTGGACTGTCAGCCCACAAATAACAACCCAGAGACATATTATTAGCTTAGGTTTTTTCCCAACTAGCTCTTAAAAGTTAATTAAGCCAGGCCTTTGAATGTATGCTCTTTCACGTGGCTCAGTTTCCTCTTATAAATACGGCACATCTGATGTGCTCTAAGTTCACTGGAGAAAACCCACATGCCTAGATTCCTCCTTCTATTCCTTTTTTTCCCCCCAAATCCAACCTATCCTCTCCTGCCTAGCTATTGGTCACTCAGTTCTTTATTAAACCAACCAGAAGGCACCTTAGGTAGAAACACATCTTAGTGTTCACAAATATTCCCCAACATTCTTCTCTTATTGATTCTCTCTTTCCATATCTTATCATCCTGTTTCCTGGCTTCTGTGAAGAAATTGTCAATAGCTTGAAACAATTGAACAGGAAGTTAAAAGGACAAGTTTCTTCCCTGCACTTTGTTCATTTCCTTGGAAACTAAGCACAGTTGCCCGGCAGACCACTACAGGTAATAGAGGACACTTGTGACTGTTGTTGAGAAACCGGTACAACAGGTTTGGCTAATCTTCTTTGTTACTGTATGTTTATTCAGATATTCACAGAAATGGTTTGTATGAGGAAGGAAGACCCTCCCAGAATGTACGAAGAACACTTCCACATGGGCTTGGATTCCAGACTAAATAGAGAAAAACAATGAGTAGAGCACCAGCATCCATCGCCACGGCAGCAGCACTTCACATTCCTGTCATCGTGTCTCTCCTGACACGTATATCTTCCTAACTCCCTGACCAGAATGAGTTCCTTCCCTGGCTGAGCTGTTTTTGTCTGGAAAATGAAAACAGTAATGAATAAAACAAATTTTATTATGATTTTAAAAAGGCTTTGTTTCAAAGAGAGCCAGGCCGCTTGTTCGTCCCAGCCACCCGGCTAGCTTATCCCTGAAATAACCACACAGAAATTGTATTAATGAAATCACTGCTTGACCATTAGCTCTAGCCTCTTATTGGCTAACTCTCACATCTTTATTTAACCCATTTCTATTAATCTGTATATCACAACGTGGCAGGGGCTTACCGGCAAAGATTCAGCATGTCTGACTCTAGCGGCAGCTCCATAACATTTCTCTCTGACTCTGCTGCCTTTCTCCCAGAATGCCATTTAGTTTCCCCCACCTACCTAAGTTTTTCCCTATCAACAGGTCCAAAGCAGTTTATTAACCAATGAAAGCAACACAAAGACAGAAGGACCTCCTACACCAAGACTTTTATATTTTTATATATGTTTTGTCTGTATGTAAGTTATCTACATACGATGTGCATGTGCAATGCCCATGGAAATCAGAAGAAGCCAGATCCTCTTGGAGTCACAGGCAGTTGTGAGCTCCTGGATCTGGGTACTGAGAATCAAACTGAGGTCCTCTGTAAGAGCAGCATGCACTTTTAACTGCTGACCCATGGCTCCAGCCCTTAATCTAACAGTTTTTAATGGTTCAAATGGACTGGACTTAAAAGAAAATTTCATCTATTAAAAGTAAAGCACCTATATAAACTCTAAAGCAAACTGATGATTAGGCTGTGAGCTGTGGACGTCAACATGGTGTCTAGAAGTAAATACACCATCAAACGCATGAATGGTGAGTGTGTCAGTTAAGATCTCAGCAGCTTCCTGATTTTGCTTTGGTTGTTATCAAAAGTTGTTAAAAGGTTCACCTTTGAACGTGAGTAGCCCAAACAGCCTGCAGAAAACTGTGACTATTCATCTATCTCCCCACCACCTAGTGTGCCAATCTCATAAATGGGAAGAAGGCTTTGGTCATTATAAATGCCACAGTACATTGCAGCTGTAGTAATTCACAATCGCAGAAAGACCACAGTACAGAGTGAAAATAAGGAGTTGAAGAACATAGGATGGCATAGAAATTAGTCAGTACATGAAAATAAAACTGTTTATTTTGGTAGTGAAAAAATACAACTCTGTATTTTGAAAATAAAGATAAGCTCTCCTAGACTTCAGAAAAATTAATCCATATTTGGAGACTGTGTTTCATGCTACAAATAGCATCTCAGTGAAAACACAAAAGCAAAATTCCGGCTGTCTACATTTCTGAAATAGTATTCTAAAACTGAAATGAATTTCAATGTTTAATCATAAATCACAACTAACAATAAGGGAAACAAACTCAGTCACCTAAGTTTCAGATCAAAACATTATTTATGAGTCTTGATCTTGAGTAAAACTTAAAAATTATAATCATACTCAGAAACAAATTACAATGAAAGCAATGTATCAAAATTTGGGGATACAGTCATAACATTTTATAGCAAAAACCAAAACCTTCAACCAATTTTACCATTAAATAAGCAAAGAACAACTAAATTAATATGATGTTAAGTTTAATAAAATAAGACTAGTAAACAATAGACTGAAATTCCAAAATTTCTTCTATGTTTATGTAAAAGTTTCTAAAAGTGCACCTGGAAATATGTTACAAATGACAATTTCCCTGGAATTACCTTTATTCTTAAATACTTTCCTTGTCTCTCAAATGAGAAGTGAACAAATGTTCTGGCTTATCTAGGACATTAATCTGTCTCAATCCAGAATCATGTCTAGCACTATAACTTCTTGCCATCTGAGACATGCACACAGTCTCTAACAGAAATACCTACTAGAATAATATTGCTAAACATCAAGATGACATTGTCTGATGGTGGGACCACTGTTTTTTTTTGGCTAAAATAATTACTTTTCCAAACCAAACATTTGTACCAGCCTGTTGGCCATTTTTACATTCTCTTAAGGTCAGAATCAGAACATAAATGCTGAGACAACAGTGCCAGAGAGAATAATACCTTCACAAAGTGTTGAATTCTAAGGAACATATCCTGAGGCAACTACGTAACTGGGTAAAAGTCATACGGAGTTTACTTACAGAGATCTAGACTGTATAGCCTATGCCAGCCAGGCCCAAGCATGTGTCTCTACTGCTTCTAGGCCCACAGTGAAATACAACACGGGAGTGCATCTAGTATGCGGGAAAATCCTCAGTTAAGAGACTGTGAACAAAAGCTCTATAGGGCTGTGCTGGAGAAAGTGAAGCAGGGCACCCTGCTGACAGTTCACTTCTTCCTGGTAGAAGGTGACTATGCTATGATAATCATGAGAAAGTACAGGGCAGTAAGTACAGGAGCCAGAACATTGTTGCTCATCAAGGACTACTTACTATACATTGTGAGTTCTTCCCCGTGCTATGACTGTCAGTACAGCTCTGTGGTGGCTTAGTTGTTTTAATATTAATGATTTATTTTTCTTTGGCTTTATGAATAACCAAAGACTCATGCTGGTGTCAGAGTGTTTTAAAGTAACTAGAAGGTTTTCCATAATGCCACACACTTTTCATGGAACCATGTAAAACAAGGACGCCCTTGAAGACACTGACCCAAGAACTGGTTTTTGTTGGAGCCATGATGATGAATGAGTCCAACATACGAGGTAATTTACGTGTGTTCTGGAAAGCCGCTTGTTTGTTTCCTGGCCACCCAGACTCCTAAAGTAACCACACAGAAATTGTATTAATTAAATCACTGCTTAACCTATTAGCTCTAGCTTCTTATTGGCTATCTCTTACATCTTAATTTAACTCATTTCTATTAATTAATTTCTATTAATTTGTGTCTCACCACGTGGCTGTGGTTTACTGGCAAGGTCCTGTCTCATCTGTTCCTGGTGGCACTACGTGGCTTCTCCTTGACTCTGCCTTCTTTCTCCCAGCATTCAGTTTAGTTTTCCCCACCAAGCTCTACTCTACCCTATCAGGCCAAGCCCATTTCTTTATTAACCAGTGGTATTCACAGCATACAGGGAGGAATTCCACATCACACATGTTTCTACTGTTTGTTAAAATTAATTTTAGCCCTGAATAGATCTTTTACCAAACCATATCTAAAGGAGCAAGTAAGTTATTTAAACTAAAACCAATGGAAAGTTTGCTGCCCACACACCCAGCAATGGACTATTTGGCAGGAATTCTCAAACTACTAGATGATTTTGTCATTGAGAATCAGTATTTGTTTTACTACTTAATCAGATTCTTAGAGGTATAAGAAATAGCTTAGGACTGTCATATATAAAATGGCTTTTGGTCTCTGAAGCTGAATTGGAAGCTAATCAGACATTTTTTTACCCTGACACTTTGGGAGAGGTAAAGATAAACATTGGAGTGGGAGCCCAAGATATTATCTTCTTATGACATATGACATCACACACACACACACACACACACACACACACACACACACAATACTCACACATGAGAGAGAGAGAGAGAGAGAGAGAGAGAGAGAGAGAGAGAGAGAGAGGCAGAAGGAGGTGAAAGATATGGAGAGGGAGAGAGATTGGTAATATATTTCACAGACCAAACACACTTTCAGCCTCCTAAGTAACTAGGATAACAGATATGTGAAGTCATGCCCAGTGCCAACCATCTGGCTCTATTAAGGCTCTTACTCCCTCAGTGAGTACCGTCCAGTCTTTATGAGATAGTAATGTTATACTTCAATACATCGGGATATTTGCAATGTTTGGTTAAGATACATGTCTTAGTACAGGGTTTTATTGCTGTGAAGAGGCACCATGGGCACACAAAGTCTTATAAAGAAGGCATTTTATTAGGGTTGCTCAGAGTTTCAGAGGTTCAGTCTATTGTCATCATAATGGGAAGCATGTGGTATGTGGTACTGGAGATGTATCTTGCAGAGAAGAAAAAGTTAACTGTCTGTCACATTGAAGGAAGCTTGAACAAAGGAGACCTCATAGCCCACCCCCATAGTGACACACTACCTTCAACAAGGTCACACCTCCTAAAAGTGCCACTCCCTTTGGGGGCCATTTTCTTTCAAACCACAACAATCCAGTATGTAAACTCTCAGTCTTCCAATCTTTATGAGACAGTAATGTCTATGCTTCAAAGCATGTGAATATTTGCAACATTCGGTTAGGATACATGAAGCAATATGTATGGAATTTTACTTAGGAGAACTTATTTTGCAACACAAGCAAACATTAGCAAGAAGCCCATTTTCCACTAGTGTGTTTTTGAAATCTTCATTCTCTACCAAAATAATCTTATTCCAAATCAAATTGACCAATATGTGATTTTTCTCTGAAGTTGATAAACCAGGGCAAGACCATGAAGCTCAGGTTTCTGAGCTAATGTAATTTTGCTTCCAATAACAATGCAGTTATTTCTCTTTGAAAAGCAAGGTTTCCATGCTAGAAGTGGTGATGTAGAGATTAAGGTGATATTACACATGTCACAGCAGAACCCAGTGATAATGCGTTTCGGGAGAAAAAAAGAAGTAAAGGTGACAGTCAGCCTCAGTATTCCAAATTGCCAGGGGCTCTAAAACCACAAGAAAAAATCTCAAGCACTTCCCTATCCTGATTTTCTGTTGTGACTCAGGAGAGTGGTGAATACTGTCAGCAGTCAAAGAATTATTTCAATCTCTATCTTATATGGCACCTTGTCATACAGAACGGCTATCCACACTGCAGGTCTCCCTAAAGGTTATGCAGAAAATCTGTTCTCATATCAAAACAGGTGAAAATGGGGGGGGGGGGACAAACAAATGTAACAGTTCAAACTACAGTACACTGTATGTGGTTTGGTAATTTTGCTTAGTAGAAGATAATTATTTTTGAATTTTATATTGTTTTCTTAATTGATTTAGTTGCAAGTAGATTCTTCTGTCATATAATACATCTTGACCGCAGTTTCCCCTTCCTCCACTGCTCCCAGTTCTCCCTCCACCTCCCATCTCCCCCAGATCCACACCACCTCTGTTTCCTCTTCAGACAAGAGCAAGTCTCCTAA